CCTGTATGCACCAGCACCTTTAGAAGCGAAAGGAAATCTATAAAACACAAAACAAACATGCAAAGAACTTTCTTTTTGGAAATGAAAAATTTGGTCAAGTGTCTACCCAGCACTTAAAGCAGTAACAACACAAAACTTCCATCTAAACTTTACTGCAGCTGACCAAAAATCGCTCTTTTGTCCATTTTCTGATTTTACCCTTTCCCAGCTGTAAATGAAACAGAATTGGGCATTCCTACTGCCAGCAGGTCAACCAGAATTACAATTGTTCTCATGCCATGGTCATCCCTGGAAGTGTTCAAGGCCAGGCTGGATGAGCTTTGAGTAACCTGGTCTAGTGAAAGGTGCCTCTGCCCATGGCAGGGAGGTTGGAACAAGATGATCCTTCCAACTCGGTCATTTTGTCATTGTGTGATTAGTCTGTGTTAAGTAACATGTATCTGGTACATTTAATCACAGTGAACAGACAAATGTATAAACTAATACTGAGAGCTGGCTGACTAGAGCAGAAGATGGTCCTTGTGAAAGCTGGAAGCTTGAAGCAAATTAGTTTACCCAAAAGCATGAGAAAGTCTTTCCATCCAGGCAGGTGCTGCCATCTCTGCTTGCTCTCAGGTTTCTGTCATCTCTCTCCAAAGCATCTGGACCTCAATTTGTGGGCAGGAAGGCACTAGAATAAATAAATCAGTTTTCCCATGTGGTGTCTCATTAAACATTGCTCAGCTGTTGTGTTAGTGGTTTCACAGTCTTTGGGTTCTGCAAGCAATTCTTCACTGGCGTGGAAAAATTCCCTGTAGTGTTCACATCCACTCTCCTGTGCCACAGCAGAGCACAGCTGAGCTATTGCATCCTAGTTTAATGTCTTACCATATCTGTTGCTATCTATCAAACCTAAGATCTCCTGTGAGTGCAGCAGACAGTGTGTTTCCCGTTTCTGTCGGTGCAGACCGTGGACATTGCTGCTGATTGGATGAAGAGCTCTTCCATGGGTACAGTTCAGACCCACAGAGTCACCAGGGTTTTGCTGCGAGCAAACAAAGCCCAATGAGAGAAGAGTTTGGCAAAGATTGACCGCTGACAGGTGGAATCTGGGGCAATCTGGGCGTGAAGAACACCAGTGAGAATTGTCATGTTGTCCCCAGGAAAGCAAACTGACCACTTATTTCAAAACAGAGCTCCCAACTCAGACCAGTTCATGGTCCACAGTCCAAATCCATCCCACAAAATTCCTCCATCTAGCACCTTGCCTTTCTGCTGTGGTCTTCAAGCTCTGTGCTGAAGCCCATTAGCAGAACCCCCAGGCACACAGACCTGCATGGAAGCCCTGGAGGTGACCCAAGACAGTTACTCAAACTCTAGCAAGCAACACCCAGCTAATTTATGATCTACCTATCATTTTAAAAGGAGTGTTTTAAGCATCCTGCACTTGATAAAACCACCTAATGAAAGGAGGGGAACATCTGCCCTGTTATGTCATCTGATGCCAAATGAGAGCCAGGACTGTGCAAGAATTCAGTCTCATTTTCCTGCAGTCCCCACTGCACTCAGTGTTAAAGGCCAGATCATTTCAGTGCTTAATCAATATATCAATATAGCAAGTAAATGGCAAGGAGTGTTCATATTTGTCTTGTTACTCCAAGACTGCTCATAAAGCCGAGTTCACGAGCCTGTAAAGGAGCTGCATTACCCCAGTGACTGCAAAGGAATTCCGCATTGGCTTCCCATAGGCTTGGTCACTGAGAGAACAGGAAAAGATAGTAACAGGGTAAGTAAAAGTAAACTGGAGTAAAGCCAAAAGTAAGGCCTACAAATCTAGCAGGGCAGTCTCAGCTCATAAATACGACCTACCAAGTGGATACTCTGAGCAGCCTGACAAAGGCAGACTGATAAACTTTTCGTAAAAAAAAATACCACGAAGTTTTCACAGGCAGAAGCCATTTATTTTGACATCTGTTTTGCCTGTTTGAAAGTGCAGTGGAAATTTCAGCACCAATACATTAATCTAGACATCTCTGTTTCAAGATCCAGGGATTATTTGATTTGCCAGTGTGAGCCATTTGGTCCCCACTGTGTTCAGAGCCAGGAATCCAAAGACAACAGTTTGCCTGTTGCTGAAGTTTAGCCAACAAGGCAATTTTTCTGGGGTGGTAGCTGCAAACTCAGAGAATTGATATGGACAGGAAGACTATCTTCTGGTGATGAGACAAAACAGTCAACAAGAAGGGAGAAAATATAAAGGTGGATGGGCAAAAGAAAAAGCAGGAAAAAAAGGAAACGATGAAAAAAGTAAAAAGGGGAAAAAGAAAGAGAAAAAAACAAAAAATATAAAAAGTAAAAATATAGGAGTGGTACCACACAGAAATTCACAGCAGAACCCATAAGAGGCAGGAGAGGAGGCTATAAGGAGAATTAAAATGTGATATGCAAGCTGAGTAGACTCAGGGCGTATTTTTCCAAAAGCCCTTGCATTTCTTAAGCCCTTGTGTTTCGGAAGAGTAATGGTAGGACACTACCTATCTCTTTCTTCCCCCTCAGCATTTCCCAGAGGTCACCAGGAGCCAAACTGAACTGCACAAACTATCAATCACTGCTCAGTGTGTGGCTCCGCAGACCTGTTGCAAAATATCCACCATGACTTCACAGACCACAAAGCACAGATAATAGTTTGGGAGTTATATCCTTCTGGCAGCAGGGACAGGCTGGTCCTCTATCCAAACAGCTTATCTCCAAACCATATTAATTACGGGAACAAGGCTGCAATTTGTAGCTGCACCAGGGCTTTTTGCCAGCGCAGCTCTGTCAGTCAGATGCCACCAAGAAAGAGATGGGCCAGCAAAGTTTCACAGCAGAGTAAATTTAAGTGCCCAAAGCTGGTCTTTGCAAGCAGGACCCTGCTCAGTTTGCCTGTTCTCAGGGTCAACCAGCAGGATAACTCTAAACACCACCTCGGCCAGCTGAGCATTGCAGATGGGAAAGTGCCTTCAGTCGAAGGGCACCTTACATCTTCCCACAGCTGGTCCTTGAGCAGAGTAAAACCAGCAGAACGGGTCTGGTTCCTGCATTTCTTGGCACAGGGGCAGATTGGAGGCTGGCCAAGGTTGCAGCTGGGAAAAAAATGCACATTTCCCGCTGCCTCCGATGAGCTGTGCCGGACTACCTGTAACCCCCGCTGCTTCTGGGAAGGGAGCTAAGAAAAGCAGGCATGTGATCAGTAAACTTGGACAGTTCACACCTCTATTAGAACATTCTGGGGCTCCCTACGCCACAAGAAGTTGAAAACCAGGGCTGCAGGGAGGATTAGTTCAAATTACTCTATTCAGGTCAGGTTGAAGGAAGGGGATGGGGCATGTGGATTGTCTCCTATCTACATTGAGACCCATCTCCCAGCCCTGGGACCTCTTCCCTGAGCTCTTTCACCCTTGGACGTGCATTCTTAACAGCCAGTCCCATTCTGAGTGCCCCTGGGAGCTGCACATGCTACCTCGTGAGTTGAGGAGAGGGAGGAGGGGTCTCGGCCCCTTTCCCATCTCCTCTTTCAGTGCACATCACAAGGCAGCCCCAGCAGCGGGTGAGTGCAGCCCATGCTGCTCTCATCAGCAAGTCTGGTCTTCACTGAGCCTTTGGTGCTTTCAGGATGTCAGGTTTGCTCTGTTTATGTGCTGGCAAAATTACTGTGTAACTCTGCAAGCAGGTAAAGCTGCTGAATAATCAACCTGTCCAGTCACACTGTCAGAGACTTCAAGCCTAAGAGATTTCAAGCAGGACATTGTTCCCCAGTGCAGGAGCTATTAAATTCCATAAATTGGTAGGTGCTTTTCTCCTGCAACACTTTTGTCACTAAAAAAAAAATCAGCAAGAGGCTGTGTGATGTTTTCAAGCCTCCTCTGTGCCCAAAGTAACCATTACTCATTCCCAGCCCTCATTAATTGCAAGTTGTGATCAGATGATGGGCATCAGTCCCAGCACCCCCATCCCAGCCATAGCTCGATGTTCATTCCAGCATTTTTCCCTCAGGTTTAGATAAAATGTAAGTAGTCCATATGCTGCAAAAATACCATTATTTTAAGCAGCCTTCCTGATGAATGTTGAAATATCCTGTTGACTAATGGATGGAACTGCATTGTCCTTCTTTCTTTCCAGTTGAGAGGCAAGATTTAAACAGACTAACTGGTTAACTAAAGGTCATTAAGCCAAATCATGTTCTTTATAAAAATAACCTGGTTAAGAGATCAGCTAATAACGGAGTTCATCCAAAGACAATGAGAAAACATTTTGTCAATGTCAATGGGCTCAAAATGTGTCAATGGGCTCAAAATGAAGTTCAAAGTGAATTCTGCAAAAGGAGTAAATGTGCCAAATGTGATCAAGAAATTAAGCCATGCGTTCCTTCATTTGTAACAGAATCTGGTCAACATCCCTGCACATATTAATGCTTCTCTTCCTTCCTATCCTTCAAAGCATCCACCACAGCCCCAAGTACTAAGCACTGCCACTTTGCCTGTGATTGCCTGAAGAAGGTCAGGACAGGCCTCACCTCCACTGAGACCCACCAAACACCAGCCACTGCTGAATGCTTCATCATTTCACAGCCTGGAGGAAATAAAATAATAAAAAAAAAACCTCTCAGTGATCTGTGACAAACCTACCCCAATGCTTGTGGTTGGAGAACAGGAATTCTGTGCTTTCAATCCACGGTGATCAGCTGGTGGCTGCAGAGAGAGAAACAAATGTTTCCCAGTCTCTGCTGGCAGCAGTGTGTGCAGCTCATCACCCTTGCTTGTCTTTAAGACATAAGAGCTTGGCATAAAGGATTTGCTTTTGTTGTGACTTTAGATTGCCTTCAATTTGGGCTGAATAGATGTACTTGGTTTAGGATGCCCACTGTAAGACACATGCCAGTATGTCTAGTACAAGGGTCTATTGGCATTTTAGGATTAAAGCACATAAAAATGAGGCCACTGACTTGTGCATAAACAACAACTCTTGTTTCTTTCTTCCAGTAACAGTGACTGTGGGAGGACAACAACACTTGCTGGGACTCTATGACACTGCAGGGCAGGTAAAGCATTTATCATTTTCCTTTCCCACGAGTTTTTTTTGTTGTGTTTGGTTTTGTTTTGTTTTTTCTTCCTTTGGTTTGGTTTTGTTGTTACTACCATATACTGGGATGTATACTGGATGTATATTGGATGTTGTTCATGATGTTTGTGGATTTGGTGGTTTTTTTTAACAAATATTAACGACCAGTTGTGAGCTGTAATGCTTGAACTGCTGACCCTCTCATTTTCTACACAGAGCTTTCATTCTGGCTCAGCTACAAAACACACACAAATACATTCACCCCTAAGACTGTATTTCCTCTAATCAAAATGCCAAGGCCTAATGAGGCCATTCAGCCTCCTATATATCCACCTCCTTTTACAAATATGATGATTCATACAGTCAGTGTTTTCTTCTTACCTTTGCCACATGGTGGCATTGCAGATACAGAGAAGTCCCATTTCCAAGATCAGAAAACTGATATAACACAGCACCAGTCTATCAGTCACCAGCTATTGACTTTTTAAGTGGTAACCCAGCCAGATTGGCATCCATCCCAATATCCCTCTCCCAGGTCAAGGATGTCCATTACCCATGTTTACTTACATATAGAATGCTTTTACTGTTTCCACTGATATGGTGTGATTGCACCCAAAGTTTGCAGAATAATTCCACCCCCTGGAGAGGAGGAAAAAGTACTTCTCCTGCTTTGCTCTGCCAGTAGAAGGGCAGAAGAAGGTACAGGGAGCAACACTTTTTTGTGGTGATATTTCCCTCTCCTACCTCTGAATGCCAGTGATTGGCAAAACAAAGAAAGAATCGCAATCTGCACAGAAACCTTGCAGAAAATCACCTGCTGAGAGGGGAGGGAGCAGGTTCCAGATCCTTCACGCCCTGGGGAGGTTATAACCTACATCCACCAGCTCCTCCAATCAGAACTGGCACTGGAGCCAGCAGGAGAGAAAGCAGATTTAGGAACTTTACTCTTTTTTGGTTCCACTGACCCTAGATGTTGGGCTTTGCTTTCATCAGGAGCACTTCTTGGCTGTACTGGTTTTGACCATGACTGACTGCTATGAAATGCACAGACAGTACAGAACGAGACCCTCTTGTCTGCAAAAGGCCACTTCTTGCAGAATATACTTTGCAGCAGTATGCAGAGAGATCAAAAAACCCACAGCAGAACAGACTGTCACTTCCAGAAAGCCTGCACTCAGCAGGACTGAGGTTTTGATGCTTTGGGTTTCACTTCCTTTAATTTTATTCCTATCATGTTTCTGTAGGCAGCAACGCTCACTTCATAGTTACCTTGGTGGCCCTTGAAGTCCACCCATCCATTCTATTCACATGGTGCAAACAGATGATCCAAAAGCCTGTCCCAAAATATGACCCCAGTCCTTGTTCCATGTCCAAAGCCTGTTCAAGCTTCTGTGCTCACAAAAGCAGAGCTTGGAGCACGAGTCACAATCCAGCAGACCTGCAGGACTTCACAAGTGAGATTGGAATTATATTCCGTGCTCAGTCACATTTCACCCAGTGCCTTAATATTTTTCTACTTGTTCTGTAGGGCTGACAGTTCCACCTGCCACCCATTTTCTCAGCAACACCTCCTCTCATTTGTCCTCCTGAGCCAGAAGGAACATTAATCTGTCTCTTTGACAAACCTCACCCCTCCATCTATTCCTCCTCATCATTTTGCTATCTCCTGCTTCAAACTGGCCAGATCAACACCTGCCTCCAAGCCCTATTTCTAACTCGTCAGGCTCATCTCCCTCCCAGACCTTGGTCCAGAGGACGTGGCCATCGACTCCAAGCTCAGAGCATGAATCACCCCTTGATGACTGGATTGTGTCTCCGTGGAGGCTGGAAGGATGATGCTTCCCACATGCTCCAGCTATAACGACAGATCATCTGGGTTGCTTCCTCCCTCCTTCTCCTTGTGTTGTGTGGCTTTCCAAAGGCATCAGTGTGAAGTCATAGCCAGAAATAGCCCCTGACATTACGATGCTATAAAACACATGCTAATGAAATAACAATTGGAAAATGTACTCCTGCAGCAGGACCCTCTGTCAGCCTGAAGGGAGAGCTGGCAGAGACCCCAGATTTGGGGTATCTGGTTTTTTATATCCCTGGCACAAAGAGTCCTAGGAGCAAAAAAATTGGTCTTTTTGCCCCGGGCTGGACTCAGGTGCAAAAGTGCTTTAACGGGGCGTACTTGGCAGCAACATTTAAAAAAAAAAAGCCAGTTTGGGGGCTTTTTGGGGGGATCCTAACACTGTTGAGGTATTAGGCAGCAATATAGAGGAGAGAGCACTACTAGTCAGTGTATCTCAGCCCTGGCAAGTCACAGGTAGTAACTCAGCAAGGCCAGGCCTGGCACTGACATTTCCATGCCAAACCAGTGATGTTAACTGGGGAAGCCTTGTGCTCCCTAAAGAGCAGGCAGCACAACACAAGCAGGGGCAAGGAAAATAAATCATTGCTCAGCCACATCTTGAGCCTGTGTGGACTCACGTGCCTTCCCAAACACCACTGTCACCCTCTGCAGCACCTCTGGATATGCCACATACCCATACAAATGTCCACTCCCTTTTTTACACTGTTTGTTTGCTTGACTTCAACCATCTCTGAATAAGAAGTGACACTGTAGTGCCGGAGTGCAAGGTTTAATAGCCTTCTCCTGGAGAGCAGGTACGTACAGAGACAGTGTCCTTGTCTGGAGGCTCCTGTCAGCCCACAGACACAGGAGCCCAGATCACCTCTTATCCACAACGTTTGTGTTTTAATGCGTCTGTGCCTCCATGTGCCCTGGTGGGAGACAAGACCTCTGTTATGGGACTTGTGGCTGTCCCTCCTTACAGTTTATATGGTGCACTGTGCTGATAGCTCAAATCAGGAATGGTCCTCTTTAAAAAAAGGATTTTCTGGGCACTCCGAAGGAACAAGGAAAATAAAATTAAATTCATGCTCCTGTAGCTGTCACAGCGCTCCTGGCTTTAATCTGTAATTTGAATGGGACGGTAAGTTCCATCCCATCTAAATATGTACGTCTGGAATATTGGTACCAGCTATATTTCGCCACTTTCTTTCAAAAAAAAAAAAAAATCCTAAATGAGTATTCCTCGAGGGCTTGCTGCCACCACGTGGCTGGTTCGGGAGCCTGGTTTGCAGCAATTAAACAGAAAATACAGAAAAGGCTTTTAGCGGTATCAGTCTGTGTGGGCTAAACCACAAACATACTTAATCTCAGGTTGGATCTTCTGGATTAAAATAATGTCCCATAATCAGGCCAGGCCTTCCTAACACACAACATTTACATAAAACTTGTTCGTCTCTGTAATGCAATTGCTCTGTTGATCTCATCCCATCACTTTGTCCTCTGTTCACTCCTCTGCTGGGAGCTGGGTGACATCTCCTTTCAACAACTTTACTTCTTCATGGACTTCATCCCTGCTATTCCCACAAACATCTCTGAGGGTTTTTTCCTTCTATACCCTGAGCATGGAGAGTCCACTTTCTTGGGAGGTGATATATCCAAAAACACCTCCTCTTGTCTTGTAAATCCTTCTTCAGATCAGCATTTTCTATGCCACTGGAAAGACAGACATAGGTCAGTTGACAAATGCTCTGGCTTTACCCCAAATACTGTGGTTGTGAGGACTGGAGACAGTAATCAGGAATTTACTCTTCCTGTCAAAGTGGGCTTGGGACAACAAACATTCAGTTAAACAAAACAAAATATTTTGTTTGTGCTTTAGGATGCTTCTTTAAACTTTTTAATGAGACAGAGCTAAATTTGACCTCAGACTTCCTTTCAGAATGAAAAATTAAGGTTTTGGGTGGTTTTTTTAGAAGCAGTTAGAGCAGAAGTAATATGGGTCAACTTATCACTGTGTACTCAGTGAATAAAATACTTCAGAAAGAAGATTTTCCACTCTCAACTCAGAATCAAACCCTCTCATCCAAAGCAAGGCAGAATTAAGGCTGAACTAAAACACCATCTCATCTGGGCACACACTGATAGAGCCTTGCATCGCTTTCTCCTGCAGGACAGAGAGCAGCTTGTGTTGCTCCTGCCCCTAATGTGGTTTTTCCTACCTAGAATAAAAGTTCTCAATTCTAAGCAACAGCATCTACCTGGGTGTCTTTTTTTTTTTTTTCCTTTTATTAGCTTTATTTCCTTTTATTAAGTATTTAGTATCTGCAAAGTAAATCTGCACCAGTTGAGTTTTCATACAGTTTAAACCAAAAGCAACCAGACTGCAGAGATTTGAGGCTTGCCCAGAATGCAGAAACTAAACTGGCAGATTTAGATATCAGCCAGGCTTGACAGCAGCGTGTATTATTGTTTCCCACACTCCAGCTTTGTGTTCCTTTCCCCTTTTTTGACTCTGGACCCTCCGAAAAGGTCTTTGAAACAGATGTATCCCCTCCAAAAAAACATCTGTTGCATTGCACTGAAATTTTCTAGCAGGTTTCATTGCACAGTACCCACCAGACACAGCTACATAAGCTCTCACTGTCAGGCTATCCCTTTCACATGGCTTGCAAAACCTCTGCTTGCTCTCAACTCCTCAAACCCGAAAACAGACTTAAATTCCTCCTTGAAACTCAGCTATCAAAGCCAGCTCATGACACAACACAGCTGTGCTTTGAGCTGTTTGAAAATTCGCCCTCTGCGCTACCAGCCCATAGAGAAAACATCTGTCCTTGTCCTGTCCAGGGCCCGTGGAAACACTAAATCTCCCACAGTGATGTACCCAGGCACTGCAGGCTGGATTTGATCTGCTTTCAGCGTGAGTGTCTTCTGCTGACTGACACATTGGTGCAGCAGACTGTGGTGGTACTAAACACACGAACATTTAACATTTAGCCTCTGCACCAACATCTCCATGGGCAATACACACACAAACAAAATGTGTTCACAGAATCATAGAATGATTTCGTTGGAAGAGACCTTCAGGATTATCTAAATCACAGCCCCGTCCAACCTGGCCTTGAGCACTTACAGAGATGGGGCAACTTTCAGCTTTTTTGGGTAAAGATGTTGACAAATCAGCACCCCTGTCTCACAAGGAGTGGTTTCCCCCACAGCAGCTCCCTGAAGGTTAGAACTGTTGAACACTTCATCGAGAGCCAACATGGAGCCAACGTGATGCCCCCATCTGCAGTCATCCCCACCTCACAACACTCTTGCTGTTCTCCCCTGGCAGGAGGACTACAACCAGCTGAGACCCCTGTCCTACCCCAACACAGACGTGTTCCTGATCTGCTTCTCGGTGGTGAATCCTGCCTCCTACCACAATGTCCAGGAGGAGTGGGTGCCTGAGCTGAAAGTCTGCATGCCCAACGTGCCTTACGTCCTCATAGGAACACAGGTAATTCTTCTCCTGAGCACCGTGGGGGGCTTCAGAGAGAGGGGGTCCTACTCCCCCCAGGGGTGGCAGGAGGCTGAGCTCTGTGCAAAGGTCTCCTATTGTGAAAGTCTTATGTGAAATGAAGCCAGATTTTCCCATTGGAGGAAAACTCAGGGACTGGGAATGGAAAGCAACGTGCAGAGGTCTGGATGGGCAGAACTCATTTCACCTTTTTATTCAAATGTATATTAATTTATGCAATAAGGCATAAATACTTATAGGGAGAAAAGATTTCTTACTGGCCTTCAGTGAGGGGGAAAAAAACCATCAGAGTCTGTGGTTAGAAGCAGAAGCTAAACTTCAAACTAAATTTTAAGAATGGGAATGATTAACCAAATGACTTAGAGACATGGGAAGGAAGTAGCCTCCCTTCATGCTTTTATATCAACATTGCAACTAGTGAGTCACCATCCTGCTTGTGTCATTGTTAGACTGAATGATCAAACCACTTTATTTTGGCATTAAAATCAATAAATTTATCTATCAAATAAAAATACCTTAAATATGGGTTTGCTTCCAAGACACAGAGTGACTAGATACTGTGAGAGTAGGGATACGACTCTCTGGAAAATGTCAGAACACTGGACAGTAACCTAAGCCAAGTTAGAGGAACAGCTTAAATTCTGGTCAAAACCAAAATCTTCATGCCATAGGAAAGGTCATTCATTCAACCACTGGCTTTGTTTTCTGCACTGGAATAATCTGAAACACCCATTTGAAAAATAAAAGTGTTACCCTTTGGATCACACACTCTGAAAATGGATGGGTTTGAAGTGCCAAAATACTTCGCTTTGATGTTTTTCATGGAAAAAAAAGGATTTTGTTTCAAGTCAGTCAGACTGAGCTGTGTCTGTCTGGCCTTTCAGGGTGGTTTTCGGTGATGCAGTGCAGGGTTGCAGCAGCTTCCTCTGCCAGTGGGGCCCAGGCTTCTCCCAACACTTTCCAGGATGCACTGGGAAAGGACAGATGCCTTTATCTGGGTCTGTAAAGCTATGAATATCTGCCTTAAGAATTACAGCACAGAGTTCGTGTATTTTTTACTAGATTGATCTCCGGGATGATCCCAAAACTTTGGCACGGCTGCTTTACATGAAGGAGAAACCCCTCACCTACGAGCACGGAGTGAAGTTAGCAAAGGAGGTAAGAGCTTTTCCTGAGGTCCCATGAAATCCACTGATCACACCTTTCCACTGGGTTTGTTTCATTCAAGGTGAACTTCTCCAGGGCCTGCTGGTGGTCCCAGACAGAGATTAAAGCCTCTGTTCAAGCAGTCTGGGCCCAGACACTCATTGTAACCCCTGAGCCTGCACTTCTGCTGCCATACCCAGTTGAATCATAGAATTGTAGAACATCCTGAGTTGGAAGGGACCTAAAAGGACCATCGAGTCCCACTCCTGGCCATACACAGGACAAACCCCAAAATCGCACCATGTGCCTGAGAGAATTGTCCAAACACTTCTTGAACTCTGGTAGGCTTGGTGCTGTGACCCAGCTCTAAGCAAAGCATCAAGGTACACAGGGCAGCAGGTGAAAAAGGGGCATCAAACCAGATTTTACTGCCTATTTTACCTAAGTCAAGTGTTTCTTGTTCAGGGTTCTGCCAGGAGGTACATGTGGCAAACCCCTCTCTGAAGTCACCTCACATCAAACTCACCCCTATCCCTTACAAAAGGACAGGCAACTTGATTCTCACTTATCCTTTGCACCTCAAGCAGCAGAGAAGGCGCTCCCAAGGTTTCTGTGACATTGCACTTTTCCCCTAGGAATGTAGAGGGATAAAAGCCCTCCCCAAGCCCTGGAATGCAGGATTCTGGACCCCAACCTTGTCTGCCTCTTATGGTCCCCCTGCTGTTGTTGGCCCTGGCCCTCAAAGGCCAGTGAGAGCATCCAATAGCAGAACGAGCTGAGTAAGCCACACGGTTGCTGAATAAGCTGAGGTTGCTGAGTTTCCAGGTCACTGAGTGTGTTTGTGTCATGCCAGCATCCCCAGGAGAATCCCATCTTAAAATGATGCTTCCCTGTTCCCAGAAATCAACTGGAAGTCCTCACCAGGTAACAGCTCCCTGGCATTGGAGGAACAGGCAGGACACAAAAGTGGCAGATCAGAGGAGAAGAGCATCTCTGAAACAACTATCTCTTTGAAACCCTCCCCAGCTGCACAGGCAGAAGGCCAAGCTCCTGGTCCAACTCTCTCTGGAGAGTTATGCAGGGAATTCTTTCTCCCCATTACACCCTGTGGTGAGATACTTGCATTGATGCTGATTCCTGCTCCCTTGCTAAGGATGACCACCTGACCTTGTCCCTTCATCTCATAGGCAGCCAGATACAAAACAGAGCAATGACCTGACCCCCTTTCTAAAGGTCTGGGCTCCTCTCTGAGGCAGGACACGTGCACGTGGAAAGATGTTGGAACAGGGTCACTTTGTCTCTCCCCTTGGTGGGCACTCCATTTTCTTCTCTTCTCTTTCAGATTGGAGCACAGTGCTATCTGGAGTGCTCAGCCCTCACACAGAAAGGCCTTAAGACTGTCTTTGACGAGGCAATCATGACCATTTTCCACCCCAAGAAGAAGAAGAAGCGCTGTGCAAAGTGCCACAGATGCTGCACCCTCGTGTGAAGTCGCTTGGAAAGCGAAGCGAGCTGAGTTCAATGAAACCAAACAGGTTAAAGCGGCAACGAAGGTCACATGCAACTGAAATGGGGAACATGACCAGAAAAGGGTCCTTCTTACCCAAACACAGGAGCCCTCCATTCTGTGAAACCTCCAAGCTGTATCACACTAGGCCAACTCATGTCTCTGTGCTTTCCTAACCCTCCAGAGCTGTATGTAGCCTGTTCCCACTACTACAGACTGAACCGAGTCCACAGAAACCAGGATGCCTGCTCCTGCTTGGCTCTTCACCTTGGGCATAAGGTGAAGGTGGCATGTGGGTAAAGAAAGAATTAAAGGTGGTAAAAGAAACAGGAGAAACTCCATTTGTGGCCTTAAGCAAGAATCGATCAAAATTAGGAATTTGCAGTACTTAGGAATTCAATCTGAATTGACTGAAAGCACGTGGAGATCTGTAGAAATCTAATATGTAAGATATACACCATAGGTAGGATGTACTTCAAAATTACTTTTCTTTTATAAGACTTGCTAGTTCAAGAGATACTTTAGTTTGTTCAAACCACATGGAAGCAAAGGTGGAGTGATTCCAGGTTTTTTTTCACTTAATGGTGAAATTTCACAGCATCAGGATGTTGCTGCACCCAAGCTACCAAAATGGACCAACATTTACCTCCAGACTTAAGGAATGTTCTTACAACAACAAAAAATGCAAATAACTTTATTTTTACAGGAGAATGTTCAGGCTGAGCCATGTTCCCATAAGCTGGGAAAGGAAGAACAGAGTTGTAGCATTAATGACCTGAAACAAAGAAATTCTGCCACCAAAGAACATTGCCCTAGACATGGAATAGCAGCATGGAACAATCTCCCTCCCAGCTGAGAACATGAACAAGACACATTGCCATGGCAACTGAGAATTTACCTTATAGATCAGCTGGATTTTTACATCTCACCCAACAGCCAAAAATAGCAAAAGCCAAAAAGCCAAAGGTCGCACTGACTTTAAGTGCTTTAAGGTGATCCAGTTGCCTTATGATTATCTTTTTTTATGGAGTATTTCTTAAAAAAAACTCATCAAAGTGTTTGCAAATGTTGATTTATTGTAGTCTCCCTCCTCCCTTTGATTGCTTCTCTCTTTGCTCCCATTTTTCCATCTTCATGGAGAGTGCTGTTTTATTTGCAGCATGGCTTGGAGTCCTCAGGAGTGAACTTTTGCATGAGCAGCAGATGACAGCCAACAGCATAGAAATGGGAAGTCCAGCCCAAAAGGGAAGGGAAGATGCCTGTGAGCTCCCTTTGCTGCTGGAGAAATGGTGCCTTTTTGCTAAAACCTCTCCAGAGATCACGTAGTTTTGCACATCACAGCAACACAGACACTCAGATGCGAACTCAAAGTGCATCTTGTTATTTGCAGCTGCCTTCAGGTACCTCGGCAGTGCCATGAGACTGTCTTGTTATGGATTTCATTCCCCAAACAGGAAATCACAATACCAGCACATACAGATTTGAAGAAGTCTGATGTAACTCCTTGCAAAAGGAGTAGCCAGCATTTCCAGAAGTGCCTGGAGTGAGCAAGTAACAGAAGTGCACCCCCCCAGCCTGGGGTCACATCCCCTGCACCCCCATGCACGCTATCCCATAAGTGCCAGCCCTCTCCTCTCTGGAAGCACAGCAGCTGAGTGCACACGTGTCACCAGAAAAGCTGGTGAATTACAGACCTGGTGTTGCTTGGAGAAATGAGTGACTTCAGCAGGACAACAGGAACTGCACCCTCAGCACAGGGAAGGGGCCAAGCCTGATGCAGTGCCCAGTCCTGCAGTCATCGAGGCTTACAGATCCAACCTCCCCTTATAGCACAAATTCCATTTCATAAATCATAGAACAGTTTGTAATGGAAGTGACCTTAAAGATCATTTAGTTCCAACCCCCAGTTTACCATGGACACCTGCAGAAACCAGCTCTGACACCCCAGAACATTTCTAGTTATAAATCAGCAGTTCTCCCTGACAAATGCGATCAGACTCGAGGCAAATAGTTCGTTGCTGTTACCTGGTGGCTTCCACTCACCATCCCTTTCCCACTGCACACAAACATGGGTGAAAGCACAATTGTGCTAAACCAAGGGAAGACAAGAGAAAGTTTTCCTCACTGCTGGCTTTTTTTTTTTTTTTTAATATATTTTATGTTTGGCCCCAGACATTTGCTTCAGATGGCCTGGCTGCTAAAGCCCAGCTCGCAGGAAGGACAGTGTCAAAGCCCAGGGCAGGGATCTGTGCTGTGCCACAGAGTTTGTTGCCATCCCCAGGCAGAGCAGTGAATGTTCATCCCACTGGGACACTGGCAATCAGCCGAACTATAATGTGTAAAGAGATATTAGGAGAGTAAGAGGAGAACCAGGAGCGGATTAAAGAAATTAATATTTAGGTAGTGGTTGTTGGCTTACAACATGACTAGAAATCCACTGGAAAAAAAAAGAATAAGCTTTTAACACATTTCAGAGAAAAATTATATCTTCACTGTGCTGCCATTTTCTTCAGTGGAAACAAATTAGGATGATTGTTTTAGCTCGTGTAGGTTGCTGTAGAGTCCACGTACAAGTGTCTGGTTGAAGCAAGTGAAGTCTGGTTTAGCTGGAGCACAACGCAAACACTCAGGTTGGAGCTGCCAGGTATTCTTAGAGCTTCACAAAATGCAGAGGAAATAGAAATCCAGAGTGACAGCTGAGCTCATCATAACATAATGAGCACACTGCAAAATTGCAGTATAACATCCCAGCATGCATCAGGGAAAGCCACAAATAATCAAAGGGTACTTTTGTGTGCCACTGAGTACCAGAGGTAGTTATTAATACTAATTGGATGGCATAGGATTGGGAATAGAATAAAAAATCAAATGGGATTTGAGAAAAACAAACTACAAAATATATGGTGATGTAGAAGCTAAAATATTATTGCCCTAATGTGTTAATCTACAGCACCCTGAACACACCATTGTATTGAGAAAGCTGATAGAAAAGTGTTAATATGCACACAAAAACATTAAGACTAACCAGGGGTTTATTTGCACTTACAAAATGGAGCACATCAAGTTTGTGAGGCAGTAAAATTTCAAGTTTTTCAAGCTGATCTTGACTAAAATTCGACATCTGGGAGCTGCAAGGGAGGGAGGGTGATTGCAGTCCACTGAGAAATGGCCTCTGCTCTCCATTTATTTTTAATTTTTTTCCAACAAAAACAAATATTTAAAAAATAGCCATGGTTAATGCAGATCCCATAAACATTATTCCTATGTTAGATTATGTACACACACTTATCCATGAAATGTGGCCCTTACTTAAGGATCTGTCCCATTACACTATTATTTTGGGGAGGCAGAGCTAGCACAGGTCAATAGGCTTTAGACAGGGATTGTAGGATGTAAGGAGATTCATTGACTCTCTGGCAAGTCATACCTAATACCTTCCCTAAAAGCCAACAGATGGTGTGTGAACAGGCAGCAAAGCTTATTTTCAGAAATATCACAACACCAGACACAGTGCAAGCACAGGCATAAGGCCACAGATATAAACTCGAAGTTATTTTCAAGCACCATTAGTAACAGGGAAAGAAAATCAATACAGGATTGCCAGGTGGAAAGAGATGGGTTTTCTCACTCTAAGATGAGCTAGAAATCAGATCCCAATTTCACCTTCAAAGAAACGCAGTTAAGGAGAGTCATAAAGGTTATAAACCATCCCTGGAACCTATTTGACGACATCCTCTTATTGCAGCTGATGTCAAAACCTTTCCTGACAGGCCTGCCTTTGCTAATAGTCTGCTGTCATTTCAAAAGCACTCACAGCTTACAGGAAACCTGCTAGACCCTGTAAAACCCATCTCCTTTAGCCTCTCCTTAAACCATAATATCCTACCAGGAGTTCTTAACCTGAAGTTCCAGTTCCAAAGAGAGTTCCTAAAGTATTTTCATGCAAACTCCTGCAAGGAGATATTAGAGGTGTTAGGTCTCTGAGAGAAATCTCACATAAAACATTATATCATGTATCATGGTTAAACGACCCACAGGTGCCTCTGCCCTCCAGAGCCCTGCAAAAACACCACGCTGGTGGAACTGGGACAATCCTGCCACTTCCAGCATGAATTGGAGGAGGTCCCACAAAGACTTCCCCAGTTTGTCTTGTGGAAGAGCTCAGAAAAGTTGGGGAGAATACAGAAACTCACCCTGGTTGTCCTGTGTACCATAAGGTCCCAGACCTTCTCTCTAATACAAATAGCTACTGTTATGGTAGTGTATAGCTTACAGACAACAACCAGCTACAAGCTCTTGCTTCTCATTACCTTGAATTAGTCAGGATGTGAGTCTTTCCCTCAACATCCACACGCTCTGGTCCTGATAAAATTATTCTTCTTGCTGGTGGGAACTACATAATTCACTCCAAGTCCAGAATGACAATCAAAACAATCGTTTCAGCAGCTGACATTGATATTTCTCACCTTTTTTGTCTTTCAAAGCACTGTTTCAATTCACAATAAACAGAGTATTAAATATACTGCTGCATCTTGATATGAAATAACATTATTCCAAATACTTCTATTAAAAGGACAGATTTTGGCAGTCTTCCTCCTACAGAAGAGAACTTTACTTCACAAGGAACCGTCTCCAACTTCCTCATTTCTCATTCAATCCCACTGACACTGCTCATGTAAATGAGGGAGGCTGAATATGGACATTGTGACCTGCCCTATAGTCAACCTATAACAAAATCTCTTCCAGCTGCTCTAGTGCTGGTGGCCTGTGTTCCACAAAAAGCCACAGTTTCCCATTCCCTGCACACTCTACAAATCACTTGGTGGTCTGCACCACGATCTGTCTGGTATCTGCCATCTCTAAGGAAGTGTGATGGAGAAGAACCAAGAAGAACCAAGAAATCAGTTGGGAAAGGAGAAAAGCCTTGGCCATGCTGCTACACAAACCAAGCAGGACTACCCCAGAAACGGTCACTGCATTGCAACTCTCATCAAGAGGCTGAAAGCCACACCAAGGGTGGGAAAACCACCATAGCAAACAGGGAACAACAGGGAACAAACACTTCTCTACAGGTGACTGTCTGGATGCAGTGACAAGGATCCATGGGCTTCCCCTCCCATTGACAGCAAGCTGCGGAGATCCCATCCAAGATACTGTCTCAAGACTCCAGAGACCCAAACTGAGAACCCTTTACAGGAGCTTGGAAAAAGTTGCAGAAGTCCTTGCAAGCCATTTCTGTTGCTGCCTCCCCTCACTGTGCCCAACCTCATACACAGCAGTGACACAGTGGTTGGTTA